TAGCTCTAGCCTCCCTATATCTGTGTGTGAAAATGGTTCCATCCTCAAAAACTAAAACTTCTGCAGTCTAACTGCAGCTTCTAGCTACGGTCTTCTGTTAAAAAAAAGACACTGAATGTCCTGAATGTGGCATCACACACATGACTTGAGTCTGAACACAGCAGACAACAGGAGTATTTACAACAGCATTATAAAAACAAAAATAGTGCATGTGGGTGCACACTTACATTCTCTGTCTTACTGTTACATAAATCCCATGAATGTATGAGATTAAGTTAGCTTCATCATATCTCAATCAGTGATTAAGTGAATAATAAAGTTTCTCTCGGGTCACTATCAGCCTGTCACTCATTATTTTCAGGGAGGGGGCGGGGTTTGGAGGAACGGAGAGGAGACGGTGATCGCGGAAGCTTTCCTCCTGCCTTCACAAACTTTACACAAGTATATATCAACTGAAAATAGCAAGAGGACATTCATACTCTGCAATCCAAGACTTGATTAAATCCACCAAAAACCTGACATGACGATAACGAGTGTTTTTCAAAAAACACAAATCCCTCCCTGTGTGTCTCTGAGCCGCAGCGACAGGGCCTGATTCAGAGCGGGTCATTCTGCTGTTAGTTCTGGACTGGTGCTGGTGGAGAAAGCAGACGTGTGTGTGTTGTCGCTGTGCTGCTGTCACGTCTGTTCCTAGATCTCTGCGTCACCGACCATTTGATATTCGTGTGACAGAAAAAATTCTAAAATAAAAAAACGTTATTGTCCAGCCGCGGCCGAAAAATCAATAAGCAACCTTACTACGCTATAATCGATAATCGAGCGGCGAGCTACTGAAAAGCTGCCCGCGAGCTACCGGTAGCTCGCGATCGACGTGTTGGAGAGCCCTGATATAGAACAATTATGGCGCATTTCCACTACACGGTCGGCCTCGACCACACTCGGTACGGCTCGGTACGGCTTGGCCGCGTTGGGCCTTAACAGGGCCGACTCACTTCATGCTGCGCTTCCATTACAGTTTAGGAACTGGGGTAGTTACTATAGTAACGCAGTGTAGGCGGAGCCGTGACGTCATCTTCAATGAGAAATCCAGAAACACAACACAACCGTTAGCTGTTAGCACTCAGAGCTCACAGCTCCTTATATATGTTCAGAAACTCGACAAAAGTTAAACAAGTACACACCACAGACTGCCTGTGTCATGGTGAATACAGTCGCTGCTTTATTTATGTCTGTATAGGCCGTTGTTGTGAGTGTGGACGGTCGGGGCATATACTGCGTTAGCTTAGCCAATCTCCATCTAGAAAAACACGAATTTTAAAAGGTTTTTCGCCTGCCGTCTGTCTGCAGACTTGACAAAGCATTAATTCATGGTTTTTACTAACCGGTATCAGTATGTTGTTACTTCGGCATCATTTTGAAACGTGTATTACAATTAAATCACGGTCAAATATGTCCATCTTGTTGTAGTTCTAGCCCTCTTGCCAGCGCTCCTCTCTCTAGTTTAGCATACTCAGCCCGACTCAGCCCTGTTTGTTGGCCCCGATAGAACCACAATTTTCTAGGGCCAGAAAAGAGGGGAAAAAGTGGCCCCGCGCCGTGCCGCGCCGGAACGAGGCCTAGTGGAAGCACAACCAAAAAAGGGGACGGCACGACACGGCACGCTTAAAGCGAGCTACGCGCTGCAATGGAAATGCGCCATTAGCTGATCCCCTGGGGGCTGCTAACACTTTCATTTTTGCAATGGTGGCAGCAATGTTTCCTTCCAATTCCATTTGCTCCTTTTTCTTCCTCAATTCCTGCTCCTGTGCTTCCAGGACATGTTTGTCCTTTAGGAGTTTTTGGAGTACTTTCATGGCTGCCACTTCGGCCTCAGCTTTTATGTGTGCAGATGCGGTGCTGGAAACTCTTGAGCTTTGCCTGCTTTTTCTGCTACCAATGTTTGATATGCTGTCACCAGGTTGTATATCATCTTGTGTGCATGATGTAGCCTTCATGTTTGACGGGGGAAAGAGAACGTCCTGCTGAGCCTCAGTGTGTTCGAATTGCTCCTTTACATTGGCAGGTGCCTTGTCTGGTAGAATGAGAGGAATATCTGTGTTTGCAGCGATTGGTTCATTGGCAGTCACATGACCTGTTTGCAGAAAGGGTCTCCTCCCAGTTTCCAAGAGCCATTGTCGTACATCCTCCATAAAATCATTGTTATGTTTTGTTATTTGTTGATACCAGTTATTTTGTATTTCCAGGTCGTCTTCGGAAAGCAACATAATAACTGATTCATGTGCTGTTTTTGCATTTTCATATTGATGAATTAATTTGTCCAGTTTGAGTTTAACATCCTTTGCGTTTTCATCATTTTTCATTAGATGTTTGATTTCCTGTGTGCGTCCTTTAATCTTCTGCACGTTTGACTGACATTCTTTTTGCAGTTGTTCGATTTTCCAAGCCAAGGCTTTACTAGTAAGCTTGACAGTCCTTTTTTACATTCCATCGTTTGTGTCACTCATATTTGATGCAATATGTGTGGTGCTTTAGCATTTAAAGTAACACGACAGTGTTCACTGGCATGCAACTTAAACCAGCGGGGCCCGGCCGCCACAGCAAAACAAACAATTCGAAAACTTCCGCTGCTCACGGCATAACAAGCACACACCACCGCCGCTCACAGCACATAACAAAACTTCCGCCGCTCACGGCATAATAAACACACAACAAAAGCCAAAGTCCCCAATGGACAAACGGTCACGCTTCCCAAACTGTGTCCAGCAAAATACACAAGAAAGGAAATAATCGTGCCTACCGCTTTTAGCTTGTTGTGCGATGCAGTCAATGAGTGTCCATCAGTGAGTCCTCGTGGCTACTCCAATCCATATCGATTAGGGAAAAACGGTCCGTAAGCTTAGGAAGCCGGCCGGTCCGTCCAGTTCGGTCTCTGAATGCGAATCACGGTTTGTATGCATGTAAACGGTGTGCAGAGTCAAAACCCTCAAATTACACCCTGTAGCGAGTAAAACTCTAACACAGAAAATACCTCCCCAAAATGCCTCGTTGGAGATACGTCATTGTCCATTTGATTCTTCCGGGTACGGCATGATGTCAAGCCGTACCTGGAACGAAATGGACCAATCCGTGGAGCCGTTACGTTACGTCCGCGGAGCCGTTACGTTAAGCCCCCGCTGATTGGTCCAAATTGACCAATCCACGGACTTCCTCACACACACATCTGTGTGCAGGGAGCAGGCAGCTCTGCTGATTTCTCCTCCCTGGCTGCAGGCTGATAACAGACAGTTGGGATTGCGGCTAAATTCTCTCTGCAGACCCATTCTCTCTGCAGACCCATTCTCACAGCGTTTATCAACCTTTTTCTTACTCAATATCAAGCCACACTTATTGTTTTTACTTCGGCTGTGAGTTTGTGTGTGCTCAGGATGAGTTTGGCTGTGTTTCGCTATGTATCCTAAACAAGGAAACAACACCTCCACGGAGCTCAGCGCGATTCACAACGTCCCGACCAATCAGAGCACACTGTGCTCACAGGGAGGGTGGGGGCTGGAGCTATTGGAGCTACAACGAGCCGTTAAAGGCAGAGAGTGAAATTCAGTGAATACACGTAGTTTACAGAGATGTTGTATGAGAAACCAATGTGAGTTTGGAAAATTGCACAATATAAATCTATGTTAGTATACCTCAACAATGGAATTATGATCAGTGGAAATGGCCATGACACCTCTCCTTTAATGTGGGCGGCTCAATCCCCAGTTGCGTTTGAGTTGCCGAGAGGCTAAACTTGGCTATAAACTGTGACGCGTTTTCGAAGATAAAGTCCATAGTGAAGCAAGATAGTTTTTGGGATATTTAATAAACAAAATCATAACATGGACAAAACGGTCAACAGAAAAAATGACAGCACAAGCTCACCCTCTGTCATCCGCACTCGACATGAAACAGGTGACTTAAATACACAAACCACACCCATGTGACAATTACCGGAAGTGCTCAACAAACAAATAAAAGTGATGTAAACAAATAATAATACAAATAATGAACTTGGGCTAAGTAGCATTATGGCACCTACACTACAGCTAGCAGCTAGCTAACTTAACTTAGACATTTGAAACAGGAGTTAGTGCTAATTTGGCTCTATAAGTTAGTAGAATGAGTCACTAGCATCCCTAAAGACTTTATTAACACCTTGTTTTGTATAAAATAATCAGTTTAGGCAATTTTTGGCTAGTTTTAGTGACTTCCAGGAGTTCCACGTAGTTGTGCCTGGTAGGCATTAGGCCTACTGACCAAAAACCTATCGGTGGTACTAGGTGGATGTTGCTTTTAACAGTCACACTATCTGACCAACTCCATTCCCTTTTCAAGTTCTTAGCGCTAAGCTAAATTAGCCCTTAGCTGTTGGTAGCTTTAGCATAGCAGAGTTATACTAATCTTCTCCTCTAACTCGCGCAAAAAGTAAATTAATATATTTCCAAAACCTCAGACCTTTCTTTTGACTTAAAACAAATGGTTGACCTTAACTTAAAAATAAAGCAAATAAATATAATGTACAAAAGAAAAGGTAAGGTTTTGTCTGCTGCAGTAAACTAAATAGGCCTACATGTAAGTAAGTTGATCCAACTATTGTAATGCGCCGTAAATGAGATAAGATTTGGTACAGTCAGTTTAGAGAATGGTGAATAAATCATTCCCAAAGAGCTAGTATTGAGAGATAATTTTGCAGTGTGAGGCATTCAACATTTTGACCCTTCTGGGCAGTTTTTCTGTGAGGCAAAGGTCTCAGCGGATGTACTCCAGTGCTCTATCTCATCCACTTTACAAGGAGGGGGATTAATAACCTTGACATGACAAAGTGAAAACAGCCCTCTAATGAGATTTCGGCTGTTATAGTCCCCCGGAGCAGATTCCGAGCTCTTCCAGCACCTTTATTGGGCTGTTAGGAGCCGCTCTCGGTGTTTCTCTGACCGTTTATGTGTTTGTCTCCCTCACCCATCCAGTATCGCTATGCTAAACTGGAGCAGCCGTCTCAGTTTGGAGGGCAGCCGTGCAATTTTTACGGCAGGGAGGAGGAGGCCTGTACCGTTCCGGACCGCTACACCTGCGACAATGTTCCCTTGTGTGAGGGATTCCTCTGCAAACAAACAGGTATATCCATAAACTGTATACTATGGGTATATCATACAGGGCGGACTGGCCATCTGTAGAATCTGGAGAATCACAGAACGGCCAGTCGTCAAAGGCTGTTGACGGCCGGCTCGGTTCGCTGACGGCCGGCACCGTTCGTTGCATCATCGAAATAGCCCCCCCCCCCCGGGCTGGGGGAGATTCCAGGGCAGATTTTTTGTCCCAGTCCGCCCCTGCATACAGTCCACATATAATATTACACTGCTTCTGTCTTTATGCTAAGCTAAAGTAAGTTATTTAGTGGCTCGCTTTAGGCACTGTTCCAACATCTTAAGGCAAATAAGCATTGCATATGTGTATTAGCATTTTTAAGACTTTATTTTTGGACAGATGTTTTGATACTAGGCCTTATTTTTGTGAAGTGAATTCAATGTTGTTTAAGACTTTTTATGAATCCACAGGAAGCCTGGCTGTAGTTCAGATCTAGAATGCCAAAAGTAGGTAGGTAGGAGGTGAGGAAGGGGCTAATTGCCATCCACATCTGTCCTCTCCTTCAGGTCGCTGTATTCCCAGAACTCTGCAGTGCAGTGGGGAGGATGACTGCGGGGACATGTCTGATGAAGCCGGCTGTAAGACAGTTTCCAAGCCCTGCAGACAGGAGGCCGAAGAGTACTGGGGAATCGAAAATCTCGCCAAAGGGTTAGTCACTTTCCCATTAGTCTACAATATAAGTGTCAGTTATTTCAGGGGACTTGAATACCTCAAACATGATGTTCTTCCCACAACAATTTGGTGCTGTTACTTATCTTTCAGAATCAACATCCTGAACAGTAACCTGGAGGGAGTGGTGCTTGATAACAGATACTACGCTGGCAGCTGCCTGCCAGACTACATCCAGGATGTCAGATTCAGGAAGCCTTACAACTTACAACAGTACACTCATCAGGTGAAACCAGCTGCCAATCACACATATGAATGATGTTTTATTAAGGAACCACTTTTGTTTTATTAATTTGGTCCTCCTTATTACAAAATGTTAAGGACATTTTCCCTCCCATGTTTTTACAGACAAAAGGCTCTTATGATTTCAACTTGGAGTCTTTTAGCTCATACTCTGAGTACATGGACCACACCATAAAGGAGCGCTCAACCCAAACCATTATTTCCATTGGTTTTGCCATTCCAGGCGTAGTTGAATTTGGCTTCAACTACAATAGTGCCAAACATACCAAGTCTGAACGGAAGATCCGGCGTGCTTCTGGCAAGGTGAGTTATTATTTTTTTGTTGCATTAACCCAGTTAAACCTAGTGATCTCTCAAAAACAGAATAAAAACCTTCAAGGATTTATCATATAAACTCACATGTCAACTATTTTATCTGTCAATTCAGACTCCAATCTTAACCTTAAAGCATTAAAGTGTCCATTAATTGCCTCATGTTTTCTCTCAGACCAACAGCTTTGTGAGGGCCAAAGCAGAGCTGGAGCTGGCCCAGTACATATTGAAGTCAGACGATTTAATGCTTCACCCTGAGTTCTTGCAGCGGCTACGCTCTTTGCCGCAGACCTATGTTTATGGGGAATACAGGCAGATCTATAAGGACTATGGCACCCACTACATCACAGAGGCAGCCCTCGGTGGAGACTTCACACACACTATCATCCTGGATAAGGAGAAGCTTGAGAACTCAGGTAATCAGTTTATGAGGCCTCGGTCAAATCAAGCTTGGTTTGAATGCTGAGTTTCTAATTGTACTATGAACACAAGAATGCATATCAAAACAAGATAAGTATCATGATCATATACTTTGGTTTGGCAATAGCAGTGACATCCTCTACATCCCGTCATCTTCAACACTGATACCTGGTGATCAGTAGTAACAGATCAAATAATATATATCTACATTTGTATTAAACCTAGGTTAAAAAGAAAGTGCTTCACAAAAAAAAGGATCCCAAATTTGAGCCCTGAGGCACCCCACAAATAAAAGACGCAAAGTTGGATAATTGTCTTCAGTGTATACAAAGTACTTCCTGTTGGATAAATAAGAGGGACACCAGTTTAGTGCTACTCCAAATATCCCCTGTCAATTTGAATATGGTGGCTGTCAAACGTTGCAGACAGATTTAAAATAGTTACAATGGCAATTTCATTATGGTCTAGCTGCGTGAGATTAAAATATAAACTCCCTGACTACTTTGTTGTTCTAGAATATTCTTTGGAGGACTACAAACGCTGCACACAGTCAGGCCTAAAGGTCGGGGCCAACATATATGGTGTTTATGTGTCTGCCGGAATCGAGGGTGGATCCTGTGATGGCCTGCTCAATGAGATGGGAGGTGAGGTACCACGTTCTTACCAAAGTCCCTGCAGGATATTTTCTGTTCTTCATCAGACAAAGGAACTAAAACGTTGAGGTCTTACGGTTTCTCCACAGAGGACACAGTGCATGGCAGCATGGTGGAGGACTTTGTTGCTGTTGTAAGAGGTGGAAGTAGTGAGTCCATCACTGCTTTGGTGTCTAAAAAACTTCCCACCCCGCAACTGATGGGACTGTGGGGTGAAGGCGTACGTTTCAACCCAGATTTTCTTCGCACAACGGTGAGTTTCTCTGCTTTTTACTTAATGTCATGTTTTCCTTTTCGCTAATTTCTTACCTTGTCTCATTCTGTGTTCTTTCACATTATGATACATGCTATAAACTAAATGCTAATATTCTCCCATCAATGTGTACTTAATAACTAATCGATGCCAGAACATTCAGCAGAGAGTTGATCTTTGGAGTTACCAATATTTGCTCAATTACAAACAGGCAAAGTACAAATTGGCTGATCAATAACACATTTGAGGACAAACTGCAAAGACGCCAAATAGTAATTGTGCCAAATACAAACAGGCTGCCTCCCTCAGACAAGGCCACGTTTCAGATTTTATTAGAGCTCTATCATTTTTTTTTTAAATTGAAAATAATTTCATAATGACATTTGTTTCTCATTAGACACGGCCCCTGTATGCGCTGGTCACTTCGAGAGACTTCTCCCAGGATGCCACGCTGAAAAGAAACCTGAAGAGAGCGCTGTCAGAGTACCTGGCAGAGGCCAGCCCGTGTCGATGTGCTCCCTGCCACAACAACGGAGTGGCCGTTTTGAAAGGTACCTCAAAGGATATTAATGTTGGTATTCCCATATCCAGAATTTATAGATTGAAAGCTCATTATCAAATTCTGACTTTCTTTTCTGAGCTATGTTTTGTTATTTTACGTATAGTTTTGGGCACAATACTTAAAGGGATATGTGGATTTCCCCGTGAAAAACAAAGCTGTCCTCAAAAATCAATGTTTTGATATACAAATAGTTGTTTTGGGGTGATGGATTCCTTTACTCTTGGCAGAAACTATGAGAAAGAGCAACATACAGCATAGTTTAGCAAGAGAGGTCAAAATGATGCAAAGAGTTTTCAGTCTTTGGGGGTGACCTTTGTTTTTACTTAAAGGGACATTACGTGACCTTTTTTATCTTCAAAGGATGACTAAGCAAGCTGATTTCACCAATGAATCTTCTCTATTTGAGTTTTGTTTCCTAACACAAGATAATAGTGCGGAAAGTGAATCTGACGATGTTTCGGTTGAGATAATGATGTTAGTTATAATGATGAGAACGAAATACATATCTCCTACTCCTTCAACAGGCACCAGATGTGACTGTGTGTGTCCTGGTGGCTACTCTGGGCCGGGCTGTGAGATCACTAATAGGCGAAAAGGTTAGCTCTCAAGATCCAACACAACATGCAAACAACATTTCTTTCTCTCTTTTTGCTAAAGCCTGACATATTGATATGGAATATGATGTGGTCTCTCCTGACAGATATAGCCATTGAGGGCAGCTGGAGCTGCTGGGGTGCATGGTCATCCTGCAGTGGGAGAACGATGGCGAGGAGCCGTCAGTGTAACAACCCAGCACCTGGTAACGGAGGCCTGCCCTGCAGAGGACTGCAGCAGGAGTCTACAGAATGCTATTAAAATCTGCTCTGACGTCAACATTGACATGGACAATTATTAAACCCTCCTTGAAAATATTAGATTGGTCTGCTATGTCTTTGTCTTTAGACTTACAAGGTGAAACAATGAATCATATTTGATTTAAAACCAGAATGCGATATATTCAATGAATATTTCATAAACAATAGTAAACCATGTCACTTCTGAATAACTGTACCATTTAACTAGATCAGTCTGAAGCACTGACCTACATTCAGCTCCTGTTTGAATTCAACCTTCACATTCAAAGCATTTAAAGATTGGAATACAAAGCATCTACACACACGTGGTAAAGTCTGCACATCATTGCTACCTTGATATACAGATTAGTATAGTCTGTGTCCTGATAAAGGCATGCATTTCATCTTTTTATTCAAAGCTCAGACAGATAAGCAGGGTGGAAAACCAGTTTTTATTCATTAAAAAAACATAGATTTTCACGCTGAGTGAGTTCAACAGTGCTGAGCCTGAGTGGAGGAGCCTCTGCAGGTTGCTCCGCCCCCATCAGGAGCAGGGTTATCACAGGTCCTTGTCCGAGTCTTCCTCCCCGATGCACATGCTGTCCAGGCCCCCCAGCACGACCACGACCCATCCGTCCTGGTATCTTTCGATGAGAAATTAAGGGGTTTAACCTGTTCCACTCTGAGCCTGTTTTTCAGGTCTCAGGCTCGAAAATGACATTCCCAGAACAAATGACCATATCTTCCCTTCTAAAAGGGTTAAATTAATAATCTTTTTTCTCAAAGTAATGATAAACCTGTGAGTTGGATGTAGAAGTGTCAGAATCAATATAAATGTTTTTTATTTTAAAGAAAATTCAGATTTTACATAGTAAAAAACTGTAAATTATAGTGTCCGTCCAAAAATTATTTTTTACAGATAGTGAAAACTACCCTTGGATGATGGGTTAGTAGACTAAAAGCTTTAGGAATCCAAAGTACAACATATAATAAGTACCCTGTATCAAGATTGATGCAAAACAAGTGAAATTTGACCTTTTTAGAGAGATTTAGCCAAAAACTGGGCCATCTGGGGTCATTTGGGTGGATTTGACCTATCTCTGGCCCCCCTTGCTCGATTTGGTTGGTTGACATACCCTTGTGACCGTTAGAGCCAATAGAATCGAAGGGGGAGGACAACACCCACACAAGCTGTAAAGAAAAAATGTGGGCGCTTCGCGTGTGGAAAACGAAACCAAACTGGAGGAATGTCTCCTTCTGGAGTTTGGAAACTAAAACGCAGTTGTATTGCTTATGGATTATCAGAAATAATTTCAAAGAAGGCACAGACACATAGGATGAACCTATGGATTAACTGCAGCATCGTTTTTTTATCGTTTTAATGCCATTGAAGACCACTTTTGACCAAGGTAAGCCATATTTACTTGTTTAGCTTCTTAGCTCCACATGTGATGATGTACGCTTTCGTTGATAGCGTCGCGAATGTTTATCACTGAGTGTTGAGGTGGGCACCGGTAGATTCAGTGTCTCCAGGACACTAAAAACGAGTGGTTGGCTGTGCATCTAGGATAAGTAATAAGGGAGTTATGAGTGAGTTTAAGTGCCTTTGTAGGTCCCGTTTTTTCGATCGAGGCTAATTCAGAGGCTGAGTGCTAGCATTGTGGTTTTTTTTTGAAAAAAATAATTAAAAAGATCAGTTAGCTGAGTTTCTTCCCGTTACATGGATATAACACATTCATAGTTTTATTCAATATTAAGATTCCTTAGACGTTGTTTCCTGCAAATGACGCGTTTATCCGCCCGGTACCGGGGGGAAGGTGTGAAACAGCCAAGATTAACAAAAGAACACAAATACAGAATGTAAACATGTCGGTAATGGTTTGAAAAATTATGATTATTAGTTGGTACATTTAGAAAAAGTCAACATTTTAATCAAATGTCAGACAACTCCTTTTAGTGTACAATTGCAGCTGGCTCTCGCTGATCTTTTTTTTGTTCTTTCTTTTTAGCTGCACCAGTTTATTTATCAAATGGTCTACAAACATTTCTCATCCCGTTGGAAGCCTCTTTATTTGCCCTGAGAGTGAAATATTGCATGATTAAATAGATCGGTGGAACTGTTGCATGCCCAAGTGACGCAGCTGGACAGTTCCCAAGCGGCTACCAACCTTTGATGGCACCCACCTGTCACTTGACGCATTTCCCATAATTATGTAAAACTTCTGGCCTAAATTTTATTTTTATTTTTTATTTAACCTTTATTTAACCAGATACAAACATTGAGATAAAATCTAATTTTCAATGCTGACCTGGCAAAATATTATTTAAAACTGAAAATGAACATAAAATGTTCCTTCTGCGTACATTTGTCATTCCATTTCAAAAGTCGCTAATAACACCAAAACGGCTGTAAACGTGTTTTCTCTGCAGTACAGTTGGGCCTGTGCATTGGATTGCCTTTAGATTTTGAGCCAGCCTCAAGTGGCAATTCAAGGGACTGCAGTTTTTGGCACTTATGCCTTGGCCTACTGTTTAACCCTGAAGGTTGTCGCATGGTCAAACGCCTTTCTCTCTCTCACCCATTTAATTAACAATGTTAATGTAAACAGGCCGGGACACATGAAGTAGTTAGCTTAATTTAACATAAAGACTGTAAACTGGAGGAAAAAGCTTTATCTTTAGCAAATTATTGTAATGTGATTTGCTCTGCTGTATTTACTCATGAAAAACTTCTCACCTCCTCTGAGAGTCTCTTCACAGGCCTCTCCCTGGTAGCCGGACTTACAGATGCAATCACAGGAAGTACCGCTGAGGACAGGAATGCCATTGTGCCTACATGGGGCGCAGCGGCACGAGTCGAACTGTTGCAGATACTCATCCAAGCCCCTCTCCAAGTTGGCCAGTCTCGCACCTGAATGTTCGGCAGCCGTGCTAAGGCGCACAAGCTCATAAATTGGCATGGTCTATGAACGGACAGAGATAGGAAGAGTAGAAAAGTTACTAAAATGCATATGACCACGACAGCATACGCACAAAAGCAATGTGAGATCATGAACAAAGAAATTCACAATAATGTATGTTCTGTAAGATAGCGTTATCTCAAATGATATTTCAGGTGACCTCGTATTCGATGAGTGTTGGGTTGTATTTAAGGGATGCTCCCCAGTTCCTGTAGGTGTCAGGGTTCCTGATAGCCAACAGGCCACTGCTGCTGTAGGTATTTCCCCCCTTCACCAGAGTAACAATGTCCTCAATTAGAGCAGAATCTGAGTCCTTGCCTACAATTCAAAAGAGGAGAGAAATAAAAGCTTTGATAACACTCTACTGAAACAATTTTTCATATCAGATGTCGATAGAAACAGTTCAAAATAAAGATTTTTGATGACTTACCTGCACTGAATGTTCCCTTTTTGTTGCATCCTTTCCCACCCACTTTGAAGTCTACTGAATTAGAGCCGGCGATAGGATAGCTTACACCAATAGAGCCACCAAAGCATTGCCCAGCTTGTTTACCATTAATATCTGTAAGAGTAAGTAAAGAGTATTTAATAAAGGTTACTTCACGGTACCTTTCCTATCAATTGACATATATTAAAAAAACTGTAGGGCCGACAGTACTTGAGCTTGCCATGGACGTTTTGTTGACGACAACAATGTATTCAAGGGTTCCTCCCATAGTTCCCTCTGTGACATAGTGGGTGCCAAATGTGCTGAAGAAGCGGGAGTACATCCCAAAGTCATACTGCTCCGGGAGCTCCATGAGTGAAATGTAGAAATCTTCATGAAGCATCAACTCATTACTTCTCATTTTGAAGTGGGCTGTTTGCACTTTGGAGAAAAGCCTGATGAACCCTAGGTCCTGAGGACAAAGAAAAACGTTTTTTATAGACTTTTCCTTTATATTAAGCTAAGCTAGTAGTATGGTAGCTAAGCATTCAGACTGGGGCAAAACATCGAGCTATGACTTTGTCTAAAGCAAAACAAATCCACTTACCAGTTCACAATTGACTACTTATTCGATTTCAGTCTTTCAAAAAACAAGCTGGTAGGCAGAATATGTACATTTTGGACACGACTAGGCTAGACTAGGTTTCCCTCTGTTTCCAGTCTTTATGCTAAGCTAAGCTTACTTGCTACTGGCAGTAGCTTCCACTGTGTAGCAGTGGAAAGGCATGAGAGGAATCAATCTTCTTGTCTAACTTTTGCCAAGAAAGCCAACAAGCATTTTTTCAAAATTGCTAATGCTTTGAGAAATCCGCAAACCCTGATCTCAAACATAAATAGTTAAAAAATAGTTAACTGCACTTCATGTAGAGCTTTGTCAACAGATCATACCTGACTTTTATGTTGCGTTATGTTTTTGAGAAACTCAGATTCTTGACTTGCAGTCAGTCCAACTTCCACATGATAGACCCCAACTGTGAATCCAGCGTTGGAGGAACTCATAGTTTTTCTTGCTTCCAGGACGCTCGTCATATCTTCATAGTATTCATGAGAACCCTCTGACGTAGCTTGAGCCTGAAATCAATACAACCGTCTTGTCAAAATCAAAATGTCTTAGTTCATTTATTCATTTATTAAAGACACCCCAAAAAAGTAACAACATTACAATACCACCAAATGGTAAGTATGGTAGTTGTAAGGTTTCCTGTAGTTCTTCTCGTCTTCATTGTAGTGCAGGTTCTCACAGAATGCGTCGTAAAGGAATTTCCTCCATTCACCATTATAGACATATTCACACTTTCCACCAAAGTACTTTGGGTCAAGTACATGATCCACAAAGCCTCCAGTCAAGCTGTTGTAGCTGTAGACAAAGAAGTAATTTAAATCAGTCAGTAAAGTGATATGTCCAAGATTTTAATTGAAATACATGTCTGTTAGGTTACTTTCTAATGTCAAATGAGATATTCCAATGAAGATGGCCCACGGGTGAAGGCCCTTGCATTTGAAGTATTACAAACTGAGAAAAAAATGGATCTGTGGGAAGTAAGACCCAAAAACACACCTTTAACTCTCGCCAAATAGAATAGCTCTCCAAGATTGAAGTTTAAATGGGACACATTTGTATGAATATTGGCGTA